TGACGCAGATGCGTCTCTTTATTCGAAACACGTGTTTGGATATCACACCACTCAAAGTTTGACAATTCGGGACATGCCTGCAGTTGCGTGTACGTTGGATCAGACGCGTACTCATGCGTGAGCGCAACTTCTGTTTCAGTCTCAATTGCGGCCGGAACTTCGATGGCTTCGATCATCGCCTGGAGGAGTGTTGGGCCGCCCTAGGGCAATTGCAGCAGCGATTCAAGAATCTGGAGAGTGATATGAGCGGGATGCAGGATGGCGGTTTGGATTCAAAGGTACCCTTAGGGCATTTCTGCTGAATGAAATTCAAGCATCACTCCCATCGCTGGACCATATGGTTTAGCATGCAAGCTCACCATTTTCAAGATGTGCCTGTCCTCACATGATATTTGTTTTCCAATCGTTGCTGTTTTTCCAATCATTAGATGCAACTGAGTGGCAACTCTACGAATTTTTGCAAGTCCTAATGCAGTCCTCCGTCATTTGCAAGTCAGAAAGGGAAACTGATTTGGCAACCACATAATTTATGATTCAGCAGGAGCCTGGCTCCATCGCAATGACGCCCAACAGTCGCTTGCAAAAAGAAATTGATGAGACAAGAAGATTGTGTAAATGCACCAATTCGCCAGCTCAAAATTCAAGTTCCAAAATATGAACTCCAAAGTCGTGGATTGAAGTTTCTTTTCGAAACCAGTGTTCATCTCTGTGAAATTGTGTTCAGGCCTGCGTGGAGGACGTGAACATCGCCCTCTTGGAGTTGGGGAAGGAATTGTCCCAGAGACCCAGCCTGAAAGACATGAACTCTGCTCTGGCTTCTGAATGCAGGGCAATGCGGTCGTGTTCATCCACAGGTCGCTGGATTTGGACAGGCAGCGCTACGAAAAAGAGCGGAGCTGTGCCGTGGAATGTGGAAAGTTTGAACACGAACCCAAACAGCTTTATCTGGAAGAAAAACAAGGTAGGAGCAATGCTCCCGTAGATAAAGAAAAGAGACGCCAATAAAGCACATATATATATATATATATATATATATATTGTTATTGTTACATAGGCAGTATATATAAAGAGCATATATATATTAGTTATTATATATATATATATAGCTATACAGCCGTTCGAGGCAGCGGAGAGGGTATGCTCATCCTGCATGCAAACACGAAGCATCATGGAAGCTACAGAAATATGATCAACACTGAGTTGTGCTGTGCGTGTGTAAACAAACTCGTGTGCCGCCTACTGGCCCTCAAGTTAATGCAGAGCTTGTTTGCTTGCATTTCTTGTGACTCACGTTGTAGAATTTGGGAAACAAATTTCAATGCTAGCTTCCCTTCCCGCGACCATACGTTTGTTCAATTCCCATACATTTGCGAACACGAGAAAGACAAATTCTTTCAAATTCACTTAATGGCCAGCTCTTGGAGCCTACCAACTACCTCACATTTGAGATTTACTTTGTGAACCGCTTTCTCTCGCGGCCATTGAATATTTCCACGACGGCACAACTGACAACGCAGCATGGGTTGTTACTAGTAAGCATGCATGCAGCCCTCCATATAAGGAGCGTATTGGGAGCTCAGAATAAGTCGGAAGACCGCATCACTGTCACACGCACGAGGTAGTCCTCTTCCGGTGGACCGTGGAGTCCAGTGTGTCAGATGCAGATGTCCCCATTCAGCTGAGTTTTTATGTCGCAGAGTGTTGCATGTTCCAGCGGCGAAGGATTTGGGTGACAAATCGGAGGCAGTTTGTGTGGTAGACGTACCTGTGTGCCGCTGGCGGAAATCTGTCTGAGAACTGCGGACTTAGGGCAGTGGCGTGTGGTGCTGGCAGTATCGTCGGTGGCACCTGCATTGACGGGCTGCTGGCCACCTCGCGTCGGCCTCCATGCGGAAATTTGATTGCATTTTGGCAAATGGCTTGTGTGCAGACAACTGTCATGTGTTCTGATGCGGGCATTTACGAAGTGGCATTCGGGATCTTTTCCAAGAATACACCTACGGTGCAGCTGCTGCTTGACGGAGATCCCGTGGTTTCTGCTGTGAACAACACTTCGTACGCCGTTCATCACTCATCTGGACGTCTCACATCCGCCAATGACCATTCAGACAGAAATGTAGCCGGCTTGACGTTCATCGACTTCTTGTGTCTCCCTGCTGAGAGCAAGCTATCAATACGATGCCAGGGGCACGGCAAAGGGCAAGGATTCCTTGGTGTTAAGAAATTGTGAAGCGGTGGCAATGCAGCATGGAATGGACGGCATGGCAACTCGTAGGATTCCAAAGCTGACAGCATCCCTTTGATGATTTGGGAACGGCGGCGAATGCCCGAGTCCTGACAGCAGGCTGTGGCTCCAGAACGAACCATTCGATCGGAAAGAAAGGCCGTCCGCAGGTCACTCCACTGCCTGCAGGGATTCAGATGAAGCGGAAACGCGTGGGTTAGGAAGGAGGACACCGCGGCTACTCTCTAGACTGCCGTCGCATGTCACACGTGGACAGTGTACACCGCACCGGGGCCAAACAGAACTCCAAATGTCTGTGCGGGGTGTGCTGAGCCAAATCCCAGGAGACCTGCATCGCTGTCTACCCAGCCCTGATTGGGTTGTGTCATTTCAGGTGCCCCTATATGATGGGAAAATGACTGTATGCAGACAATGTCTCTTGGCTTGCCTGATGCTTCCTTGTGAAACCATCCCAGTGCAGGGGGTGTTACATGAATGCGACACGTTTAAGTTGGTTTTCTTATCGCCAAAAATTGCCGTTCTGTGAGAGTTTCTGCCAAGCTGGCACTTCCAGACACATGGGTCGGTGGCAATTGCGAAGGCACCAGCTGCATGTCATGCTGAATCACGATGTCAAACAGACTTGCAATCAGAAGCGTTGAAAGCTGAGCAGTGGGGTCTGTCCCTGAGCGCCAGCTCATTTCTTGGCCCTTTGTGCATGCCGTGTGCTGACGAGGCATCCCAGGGCATTGTGCAGTCGATCTTCTTCGATCAGTCTTGCCTGTACACCGCTGGAGGCAATTGAAGCAACCATTTCCCAGCATTTAAGTGCTCTTGAGGCGCGGTGTGCACATTGACGCAATGGCTTGCCAGTCCCCCATTCCAAAAGCAGGTTTATGCTGCAAGGATACTGCACAATCGCCACATCTTGTCAAGGCAGCAGCGAATACAGTTGTGCTCGTCAGGGATTCATTGCGGACGTCAATAGTGCATGTCTTTCGTGGTTGTACATCACCCTTCGTTTTTATACATATGCCATGCCTCTAAGTCCTGTTCCTCCGAAACTGAACCGTTGGAGGTCATCATTGCTGCCCACCGGACAATGTAGTCTGCACCCAAGAAGCTATGTCATGGTTCTTCCCTTCTGCACTAAGCTCCGACAACTCCATGACATGGAGTTTCTGCTGGATCTTACTGAGCTGGTTAATAAAGAAGCATTTATACTTCTGACCCTGCTCTCTGCTGAGCTCATCACAGCCAGCCAGTATTTGCATCACCTTTGTGTACCAAGCTGACAGCTCTGTTCCATCACCAGAGCCCTCAGAAGTCGACGCTGCAGCATCTTCCTTCAGGGCACCATCCTCAGAACAGCAGCGCCCCCGTTCTTTGCCTCTGGGCAATGCACCAGCCATGGACTGAGCTCCTGCACTCAGGCTGTCATTGTTTGGGTTTTGGGGATTTTGTTGCCTACCGGCAGCTATCACAAGACGCTCATTTTCATTCCCACCTGCACCCACCCTGGTGGCTCCATGACTTCTATCAGAAACCTGTGCAAAAAGTTGCACCTGTCCGTCTGATTGATGAGAACCATGTCCGGCAGGCTCGGACACTGGGCGTCTGGCTCGAAGCCCCTGTTCGGCAGTAGTGTCCATACGCATGCGCTTGCTCCCAACAGTCTGCACCACCATGGAACTCCCTTGAGGGCTGTCAGATACCATCCTAAATCCCCCACTCTGCTGCCTCACCACTGGAGCCAAGCTGGCCTGCCCCGGCTGCAGGTCCTGAAACACAAACGCCTGGCTAGTGCTGATGGCTGGAGCAGCTGATGCCAACACTGTGCGGCTGTGCCCCTCCCGCCTTCCTACCATCTGCCCATTAGCAGCTGCCTCTGTTAGGCGGGGAACAACCCTCACCTGGCCCCTGCCATCCTGAACCAGAACACAGTTTTTAGGAATCTGGACACCTGCTGGCATTGCGATCCGCAAGCTGGGATTTCCTTCCGCAGTATGGGTGGTGGGCGCCTCAGTAAGGTCGATGACCTCAGTGTCTGGGGGATTGGACCCCGCCCTTGATGTGTGCTGCTGAGCCACGGCAGGGGCTATTTCACGCCGCTGCTGTGGCTGCCCGGCTCTGCCATGCGCGGCTGGTGCCTGGGTCATGAAATGAACCGGACCCGGAACTCCACCCACTCGGCTCTGGACCCCCAAGATGTATCCAGCGGGGTTCTGTGAAACCACCACTTGTGCCTTCATTCCGGGCCCCACAACTGCTGGTGAACCACCGGCCATCGAGCTCACTGAATCCCGTGCGCGTTTCTTCTGTCCAACACCACTGCCTGGCCTGCCCTGGTCATCACCACGCACACTGGGGACAAATCCACCATGTATCTGCCCAATATGCTGACCTCCAACCTGCCTGCCCTGCACCTGAGAATGGACACCTGTGGTTGCTGGGACACCTGGTCGTATTCCACCAGTCGTCTTGTGGGGTTTTGGAACCACCATATACGTCCTGCTGCCGCCGCCTTTAACAGGCACACGAACAACCACATTTCCATCAGGTAGCCTGCTGACAATCTGCATGGACTGCAGATTCATCTGTTGAACTGCCTGCTGTGGCAAGGAGGGGCCGCCACCAGAGCTCGGGCGCCCAGCAACCTGCGCACTTGACCCTGGGGCTGGCACATCTTTCCCTTCAACCGGCCGTTGTGGTGCCAGTCCCTGCGGCCAAGCAACGAGATTAGCAACATAGCAATATGCACCATGCCCAACAAATTCTACAAACTGGGAAAGAAGCCGATGCGCACCTTGATGGCTTGTGGCATTCGGAAGACAGCATATATCAGCTTCCAGGGGCACTCGGAGCGCACAAGCAGCAGAACGTCGTCCACCACAAGGTTGACCTCTTGCACAAAGTGGCTCCATCCAGCAGTCAACTGGGACACCCCATTGCTCCGGGTACATGATACGTGGTACTGGTGCTTTCCACTAGTGTCCATGAGCTCGAGCATATGAGTCTTTCCCTGGCGACTGTCAAGCCAGCTGGCCATGGCGGCTGCAGCAGTGGCAGACAAGATTTCAGCACCAAATGCCAACATTGAAGCAATCGAAGCACAAACGAATTCACGTCACTTGGACATTCCACAGCAGTAATGTAGTTGAAGAGCAAGGGCAATAACAACATCAACTGCACACACAAGGGCACTCTTGGCTTAGTCAAGTGACAGTTAGTGCACAGACAGATATACTGCGGTGACTTGGGCCCAGAACTGGCTGTCACCCCCCACCCCACACGCACACACAGTGATGCAGAACCACGCCAGACACAGAGCAACCGCAGCTTTGCCACAACTCGATGCAACAAGCATGAGGAAAAAGATAACTGCATCTCGTCACTGGAAACGAATGCCATTTGCCCATTCCACCCACCCACCTGGAAGAGTCTTCAACACTTGGGAGTTTGAAGTGCAGTGGTCAGTGACATGCACTGCGAATGCGGCCTGCGAAAGTCGTACCCAGCCATGTGTTCCCACCATCCCGCTTGCCAGCTTCGGGTCGCACACTTTCTTGTTGAGCAGTACAGTTTGTGAACCAGGCCTTGTGTGAGGCACTGCCCCACTACCCATCCCTGCACTGTCCATTTTCTGCCTAATTTCTGGAGACCGCTGGGCTGCGCTATCAGGCTTGCAGCCTGGGCCACCCTGCTGTGGTCCAGTTGGACCACACTCAGAGGCCTTGACACCATCATTGGGCCCCTGCTCACCAGTCGGACCAGCCGCCTCGCTCAGTCCCAGCAAGTTGTGTGCGGCATCGTGCAAATCACCCTCCACTTCCTCACCCTTGAGCCAACCTGGTAAGGGAACCTCCTGGTCTGGTCCAGTTCGCTCAAAACAGGGCGTACCTGCCAATGCAGTGTCCGTTTCCTCACCCGACCTCTGCCTTCTCTGACTGACCTTGGGTAAGGGCTCTGCCTTTGCAGCACGTTTGTTGCCAGCAAGGGAGCGTACAAAAGATGCCACTTCATCGCAGTTTGCCGACTTTAGGAACTGCATTAATTCTTCGTCTTCAGTGTAGTCCTCCACAGGAAAGTTAAGCGAAACAGCATTTTGGTTGTGAAGCATTGCCCTCTTCAGGGTCGCCAGGTCATATGCCCTCGCTGCCTCCTCCATTGTCTCAAACCGTCCCAGGTAGTGGTACTTCCCTTCCAGCTCGACCTTGGAGTAGGGCACCCCATCCCTGGAGAAGTACACCCCCTTGAATTTCTGATCATCACGGATTCGCTTGATCCAGCTGTTTTGCGCAGCACGAGTGCCAGTGTGCAGCGTCCGCAGTTGTTTCACAGGCCTCGTGTACAGCTCTCCCACAGCCCTCTGATCTTCAGACTCAGGCTTGCAGCCATGGCCATCTCCCTGAGGGGGCTCGGTCCCTTCTCCGCCGTCAACCCCATCGTCGAAGCAAGGGATGGGCCATGCGTCCGCCTCAGCATCTGCTGAGTCCCGCCTCTCCGGTTGCTCGGGCGCACCTTCCCCTCCAAACTTCTGAGTCTTGCGCCACAGTGGGGCAACAGAAGACTTTATCTTCATGAGGTCCTCCATCCCTGCATTTCGACCCGTGTCGCTGGCAGTCCTCAGCTGGTGCATGACCGTCTCGAAGCTGGACTGCACCAGGGTGGTCATCAGCCCCTCGCTGGCCATGTAGTACGCCAGCGGAAAGTTCAGCTTAGCGCTGGACAAGGAGCGCCCCATCTGCATTGTCCGCTTCAGGGAGGCGACGTCCCAGGCGTGGGCGGCCATCTCGCACGTTCTGTAGCACCCCAGAAAGCACTGCTTCCCCTGGAACTTAATGACAGAGTAGGGCGCGGCCATGTGCTTGTACTTGTACACCCCCCGGTAGAAGTTTCGGCCGCGCCCAGCCGGCGTGGCGCCCTCCGTCCCCACTGCGCCCCTGCCCTGCACGGCCTCGTGCACCGCGTCCATCTTCTGCCCCTCCCCTGCGTACCCAGCCCGCCCGAAGCCCCCCTCCTTGCCCCCCTGCCCGCTCTCCGCCGCGTCTTCGTCGACCCTGCCAGTGTGCTCCGTCGTGCAGCACTGGCTGTCGGTGTCCCCCCCCCGTCCCTCCGTCACAACCGGGCCCTCCCCGGCCTCGTCATCCACCCCGGCCCCGCCCCCCCTTCGCCCCTTGTCCGAAACACCCAATCCCTCCCGCTGCCCCTCCGCGGCGCCCCGGATGCTCTGGCAAAGCAGCGACAGCCTCTGCGACGCCTTCTGGGCAGTCACCTCAGGCGACCCGTCCCCGGGCGTCGCGTTCCCACCGGGTGGCGCCGGGTTGATGTTCGCCCCGTCCTCCCGCCGGGTCCCCTCGCCTGACGCCGCGGTCGCGTCGACGTCCATCGAGTGCTGAAGCATCAGGAGGCCCGCGACCGCAGCCGGGCTGTCGCATTCGAGGTCCTCGTGGGGCGCCGGGCCCCCCTGGGGATCTCCATTCTCGTCGGGGCCGTCCGCTGTGGGCACAGGAGGGATGACGTCAGCTGGCGCTGGGGGACGCCCTGTGAGGGGATGTTGACTTGTTTGACCGGGCAACCGCCCCGTGGGCCCATGTCCGGTCAACACGGCGGGATTGGCCAAGGCAACAGCGGCGCGGGGCCCTCCTCTCCCAAGGCCCAAGCCTTTGGCAGCCTCGCGGGGGCTCCGCAACGAGGCTGCGCCGCAAACGCTGAGAGCTGCGAAACAACCGAAGCATCCAAAAAAAATAGCCCTGTTGGCATTGGGGTATCCGGTTGCGTTGCGACGCGATATGGTCCCCCGCGTGCGCTCAATTGGTTCAAACAGCGTCCCTCTCTGGCGCCAGACCCAGACTAAACCAAAACAAGACGGCCCGGGTGGCCAACAGCAGAAAAGGGGGGGCCAGGGACGGGGTGTCAGGCCCGACGACCCCGTCCTGGAGGCCTCACCGCTCGCCTCGGGGGACGCGCGGCCGCCCATCCCCGTTCAATCTCGTCCACAACGGTTGAGTTCGGACAATCACGGCTTGTCGGGTGTAAGGACAACCCAAGACCTTGGTAATCTTCTCATGCGCAGCCACAACGCAACCACCCACCCGATCGTGGGCCTCACATCACTGGAGAAGATCGGCGTGAGTGTGTCCAACTCATCCTTTGCGGATGCAAGGGGCGTACGCCATCCCTCTCACTCGCCAATGGGGCTGACATCCGGCAGTGCGGCTGGTACCAAAACTCGGTTGAACACAACCAGGGGAGGGTCAGATCCGCGGCCACAGCACGACGCCATGGCCGCAGGGCGCCACGGCCACGGTAGGCGGGGCTGAAACTCGGACGCACAGGGCAGCACACGATGATTTTCCTCGCCGAACGCGCTCCACTCGCCACCCCCAAAACCGCGGCCCCTCGCAGTCCACCTCGCCACCATCGGCAAACAAGATGTCCCCCTGAATCCTGACGCCGCCCTCTCACGCGCGCCGAGGCCGCCGCCTATGTTCGCAGCCCCATAGCAAGCGCGCTAACGCACGTCTCGTCTCGATACGGCACGATCCCGCGGTGGCAGCCGACACAACGATCGCCACTGGGGGCGAAATCGGGTCCGGCAGTACGCTGGCGGCATCACGGGACCCGCCTTGTCCTGGGGGGCCTGCGGCAGAGGAGGCTCCCCCGAGACACCCACCCGCCTCAGAGGTCTGGCGCTTGACATCGTTTGACCGGTCCTCGTCAGCATCTTGCTTGTCGACGTTCATGGGGCCTCCATCGCCGTCCGCGACCGCGGCTTCAGCCGTCTCCGTTGCAGATGCCATGGCCCAGGCTGCGGGCGCTTGTCGCACGGCGTCAGTTACGGACAGCGGACGTTCGAACCAGAACACGGGCTGGGCAATTCAGGATTCCACGGAGGCATGGCGATGGGGGCACATAATGCGCCGAGCGGGCCTCAACCAAGAGGGCCAATTGCACTGCTTCTCAAACGGACACAACTCACGACGATCCCTATCCGCAGCTGTCGTGTCGTCCCGCAACCAGAACGACAACGCTGATCTCTGGGATCTCACCCCGGCGGAGGATGACCACGTTGGTCATACACCCCAAGTTCCGAGGTCACAGTGAAATCCGAGAGAGACACGAACGTCACCAGTACTTCACACCCGGTGGTAGGATTTGGCGATAGATTTGGCGACAACTGTACCCTTCATCCGTCCGACTCGCATCGTCGCATCGAAACTCCCACGCCTCGTCATTGCTTGCACAGTACGGTTCACGAATCATAGCCAGTCGCATTCATAGTCAATATTCTCAAGGGAACAACATTGGCCACAAATTGAAGGAGCAATGAGTGCGCGGCTCCACCAACACAAACACTATCTCGTGGTGGCTGATGTCCAACATCGACCTGCACAGGCCACTTCCCATGTCGGCTCCCCGCGTATCAGGGATGAGGAAGAAGGGTTTCGGCGTGGACCCTCACCCCTTGTGTCTTGGCTCTAAGGTCATGTCGGGTCAGAAAAAATATCTCTCAAATTTCCACTAGTTACTTCTCCCCCTACCTGAATTGCGCCCCCTGACTCCAAATTCCTCGTCCAATTATTTCCTTGAGTTTTGTGCTCAGTCCGTTGGCCACTGGTTTGCACTTGGCAGGGGCAGCCGCTCACGGGGTCCCTTCCCACGTGCAACTTCTGGCAAGGGAATAATAATCCTCAGTACAAAGTTCGAACTGCCAGGTTCCACAAAGGAGATGCATGTCCATCAGGCTTAGCTTTTACGTTTATATTTACATTTTTGCTTTTACGTTTTACAGCGTAAAAACGTAAATTTGCAAAAGGGCCTATTTTTACGGCTATTTTTATGTTTTTACAGCTCCCTGGGGCACCCATGTTACACAACGAAAGTTGCGTACAACGATCAGTCCTCCGCCATCTCCAGCACCTGCAACACAATGTCCACCTCGCCTTTGGCAAGGGCGATGATGGTGCTCAACAAAAGCTCATTTTCTGCCCCCTCCAGGGCGCCTGGCTGCCACTCTCTGGGCTCCACGAGTCTGTATGTGCTGTCCTTATGTACACCAGGCAATTTTTACGTTGAATTTACGTATTTTTACACATCTTTGCGCGTAAAAACTATTTTTATGCGTAAAAACTATTTTTATGCGTAAAAATGTAAAAACGATCAGTTTTTACGATCAGTTTTTACATCGTAAAAACCAAGCCTGATCCATCAACTTCACACGTGTAGCAACTAACGCTACAATTTACTAATGTTACCAATCTAACAAATAAAAGGTTGTAATGAAGCGATAAACTCGTTAAACATGCGGAATAGTACATGCACTCTCTTTGCTACCTCATATTGGGGTCCTCACAAAACCAGGTTTCATGACAATTACGGCATAGTTGCACATATTGATGACGACTTCAAACATACTTGCAATTACGTCTAGACTTGGCTTTTACGAGTACGTTTACTTTTTTACATGTGAATACACAAAAATCCAAAATGGGTTGTATTTATGGCTCGTTGGGACACCCATGTTGTGTGATGAATTCCCATAGAATGGTCAGTCCTCTGCCTCTTCGAGCACCGCAACACAGCCTTCACCTCGCCTCAGCAAGACGAAAGACTTTGCATCTGATGGTGCATAGCGCAAAGTGGATATCTATTGCCGCCATCGTGGCTGCGCAATAGAGACATCCAACCGAACAGGAGAAATTGCGGAACCGAGTTCCCCACCATTCGATCATCAATTGTAACCATGGTTTTGATGGCCCAGAAAGGATTTCAGCTCTAGATTGAAGACGTAGAAATCGGCGAACTTCACAATCATGGTGTTTTCAGAAAGAGCTGGCTCCATGGTCATGGTCGCTATAGGCACTAAGACCACCACAACGAGCTGGGAAGAGTCTGATCGCCATATCACTGCATGGCAATCAAAAGAATATTAGAACTACTTGTTTTATACACATGCCGCAAGCGCTGTTTCTACCTTTCCCGTCTCTTGAGCCCACCTTGTCATGTACTCCTCCATGACAAAAAACTTACAACATCACAATCACCAACATATTGTACCCGATGTTTCCATTTGTAAGTTTGCCCATTCACTCTTATTGCAAACTCAAGGCCCCTTTGGGGCAGAGAATGTGCCCAAACTACTCATGCACATTGCGGGCAATGATTGTGGTGTAAAACACAGGGGGTTAGTATGTTTTCTTGGTTACGGGTATCTGGGATATACAATGAACAATAAAAAACAATCTCATCCTTTAGTAGAGTTTACTAGGAACCCATAGGTTCTTGAACCATACCATTCGGATTAGCAGCAGTGGATATAAAGATACTAGAAGTTCCAGTACTTAACAACCCTCTACCAATTACCAAGAGCACTTGCCTCTGTAACCGTACTAGGGGATGAGATATTATCGATATGGTGACGTTGTCCGTATTGTCACGTGGTACGGGGTATGCCAAAGGGTGACCTCGATACCCGACTTTGTAACTTTTGCTGATCACTCACCTCTGCGCGGCTGCACTCGCGAGCCACACCGGCGTCGTGCACCCACTGTGCGCACTGCTGCCCCATGCCCAAACGATCATAGGCCTGGCTCACACTGCGCACTCCGAAGGAGTGAGCGCCCTAGACCGCCCACCGTTATCCAGCAGAGGAGGCCCATCTGAGCCGGATTGGGCGCCACGGTGGGCACATTGCCCGTGCATCGAGCCAAAAACCATGCTAGGCATTTTGGAGCCGAAGCATATGGAAGGTAGAAGCATACCACGTGACACAAAAGAGCCAAGGGGACC